AATGAATGACTTCCCTTTTCCCAGGTCCGAAATTGGGAGGGCTCCCCTAGGCAAAGAGAAGGGGCCTTCCAGGTTCTTGATGGCACCCTGCTTTTGAAGTTAGGTCTTGACGGTAATGGGTGTTGAATTCGGTGAAAACTGGTCTACCTGAGAGAAAGGCACGTGGGCCAGGCCCAAGAATGTGGGACCCGGGAAGGGGAGTCCTAGTCTGCTGCAAGCCTGTAGACTGGTCTGGCCTGGTCTCCTCTGGGCCTCCTTAGGTAGGTCTGGTTTTTGGTTTGGATGACCCCGCCCTGCCCCACCCTACCTGGTGGGCTGGGGAGGCTCCCTGTGCAAGTATGTGGCGGGTTTGAACTCCAAACAGCCTGTGCTGTCTGTAAACACTTGTGAGGTGGGGGCTTGGGGACTCTGCTGTCTTGAGGGCCGCCCTCTGCCTGGGCCTGTCTGCCAGTCATGAGTTGCTGAGTGAGCCCTACCCTGCCCTTCCCATCACGTGCACATAAGGGGTCACTTGTGGGGGGAGAAGTGGTCTGGACTTCCCCTTCTCTCCCAGCTAACCCTGCTCTTTCCACATCTTAAGGGGCTGTCTGCCTTCCAGCGCTTCGGACGGACAGGCCGCTGTAACCCCCCGCCCCTTTTCTGCCCTTTGCCTCCACAGTTCTTGAGATTCTGCTGTGCCTGGCCATGTGTGCGTTGTTACTTATGGCTGTCATTCGTTCATTCAGCAAATGTCGAGTGAGCTCCTACTGTGTGCCGGGCACAGGGGAACATCAGTGAACAAAACAAGACATTCCCGCCCCAGAATTCCTTGAACTCTGGCTGTCATTGCTTGTTCCCGAAGCCCTGAGTTTGCCCCTTGGGCCCTTTTTCTGTACCCAGCTCCTGGCCTGCTCTAGTCATCAGGCACGTCTCTTCCTTTTCTGGAACTTAACTTGATACTTTCAGATGGAGCCTGATCAGAAAGCAGGTCTCTGGAAGTTACTGAGAACAGGCTATCACTGGTCTAGGGCTTTTTTGTTGCCCCAGGCCCCTGAGGATTGGTGCTGCTCCTGTGGGGCCCGATCTCCTTCCTGCTTCCCCTTTTTTCTTGTGACAGAAGTCCTGTCAACTCTTTCTTCATCAAGTCTTCCACAAGTTTGTCAGTTGCTCCTTTACCGTAATCTCTGACTTCCTCCCTGCTGGCAGGCACCCTGCGTTTGGTGCTTTGTTCTTGGAACTGCCTCCTGATTGCACTCTTTCTGTTCCCTGCTCAATCTGGGACCTGGTGAGGCTTGGCCTCCAGAGCTGGCATCCAGGGTTTTCCGGGACACCTGCTGCTGCCCAGGCCAGGCTGCTTTTCCATCCTGACGGTCAGCCCTGTTTCTTCCTTTTGTTCCTGTCGTGGCGGCCCCACGCTCAGCCACACGATCTCCCTGCTGCCTTCTGGAGAAGGGCCCCGCCCACTTTCCACCTCTGGCCGTGTCCTGCTACCTGGGATGCTCACTTCCCAGTAATCGGTGCCTTACTCAGTGACACTCATCGCCCGTGCTCTCCCGCTTGAGTGACAAACCGTGGCACTGGCTCCTCGCATGCACTTGACATAGCCCGATGTGGTGCGGGGCCTGCAGTAGCAGCCCCCAGAAGGCACTGCAACCACGAGAGTTTCCGGAAGAGCTTCGTGAAGACCAGCCCTGAGCCCCAGGTTAAAGGTGCCGAGTGTCTAGGCGTGGTGGTGTTGGAGTGGAAATCCCTCTGCTCCC